CCGCCCGCCGCAGGCCGGAGTGCTCCTTGCTTGGGTGTCCTTTCCCCAGTCACCCCTCTGGCCCCAGGGAACCAGCCTGGCCCCTGAGCCCTCTTTTTGTCGCCCCGAGGCCCGCGCTCTGTCCCAGGCTCTGGCAGAGGAGAGTTTACTCTGGAGACAGTCAAGGCGGGGACCTGCAGCTTTGCCCAAAACGTGCAACTTGGCCCAAAATCCTTGTGGGGAAGTGGGAGCTCTGGGTTGGCCGAGTCGGATGATGGCTCAGCATGGAGCTGTTTGTACGGCGCTCTGGTGTGTCTGGTTTGGTCTTGTTTCTGGTCAGGAGCGCCTGGCTCCTTCCTTTCTTCCCTGTGCTGCTCACGGATTTCTTTCTGGTTTTACAGGGAAGTTTTCAAAGCCAAACATCGTCAGACAGGCAAGAAAGTAGCACTTAAGAAAGTGTTGATGGAAAACGAGAAGGAGGGGGTAAGTGTGGGAGCGTGGCTGGGCTGTGTTTGGGAAGACCTGGATTGGGGAGTTCGTAGGTGAAAACTAATCTTTGGGACAGCAGAGGTGCATTTTCATTCTGTTCTTTAACAGTATTTACTGCTGTAACGTGCCAGATCTTGTACCTGTAAGGGGGTGGACAGGATCCCAGCCCTGTGGCCTTTTGCCTTTCCTACTGGTACTACGGTAACGTTGGGTCTTGTGGTTGCTCTGCCAAGGTGTACGGCCTGTTATCACCTCCTCAGCTGGAAAGGCACATGGCAGGAGTGAGGTGACTGGGCTGGGAGGTGACGCTGCCCACACAATCCTCCTCCTGTGCAAAACCCCGTCACCCCCAGCGCAGGGCTCCACATTGGAGTCGTTTGTGGAAAAAATGAGTGGTGTGTAAGGTGCGTGCTCAGGGGGGTGCAGAGATGGGCCAAGCTGGGGAGAGAGTTAACAGCTTAAACAGCCCAGGCAGCAGCCGGGGAGTCTGCTCTGCAGCTCGAGCCAGGCTGTACCCTGCCCTGTTACGAGCGTGCAAGGTGAGGAGAGGAGGGAGGGGTGTCTGTGCCCATCTTGGCACCACGCAAACGCCTCTGCCTTGTGGCAGAGTCTCCCTCACCAATAATGGCTTGATGGTGAATACGTTTTGGCAATCCCTGTATTGGTGTTATATTTTAAAGACAATCCCTGTTTTGACAATCCCTGGTGTTATATTTTAAAGCTCTGACTGCCCTTCAGTGACTTGTCGCAGTGCTGCTCGAGCTGCTGTGGTCACATCTCTCCTGTCCTCTAGGCAGAGGTGGCCTGGTCTCCTGCACTCCTAATCCCTGTCCTTTCTTTCTCCTTTCCAGTTCCCCATCACAGCCTTGCGAGAGATTAAAATCCTCCAGCTGCTCAAACATGAAAATGTGGTGAACCTCATAGAAATCTGCAGGACCAAAGGTAGCTCGCGGGGGTCTCCCTTGTACTGACTGCCGGCTGTTTTCCAGCCCTCCTTCGCTGCTGAGCAGGCTGATGTTTTGTGCTGGGAGCGGGGTCCTCTGGCTGGGCACAGGCTGCTGATCCTGCCTGTGATGTGGGGTGATGGTACACTGGTCTTGGAAAATGGTTTCTAAAGGACTGTGCTGGTAAAAGCTGTTGTCAGTCCTGCTAGAATATGCCTGTGCCCTGGTGGTGAATGCTGCCTGTGTGGGAAAACTCCCATCTGAGAAGCTTTAAATAAACTAGTGCTGGGGAGAGGCTGAAGCAGAGGGTGCTCAGCAGCTGATCTGGTGGCTGTGCGCTGCTGGTTCCTGTCAGGAGCTGGAGCCGCCGTCCCTCTCGGTTGGCTTGTGGCAGCTCCTGGCAGCTCCGGGCTGATGACACGGCCCCAGCGGGAGGCTGCTCGGCGCCTCTTTTTGTGGGTGAGGGTAACTGCTCATGCTGGGAGGGCTGGGACTCCACACGGGGAGGTGCTGAGCTGCTCTGCCACCTCACGTAGTGTGCCTCCGCTGTGTGACTGGCCTGGCTCTCTTTCCAGTGACGTTGCTTTAAAACATTTGCTCGTTTTTATGTGTCATTCTCTTATCTGGATTTGTACTGGAAAAATACTTTTGAAAGTGACGGCTGATGTTAAATCCTGCCGTTCTCTAGTCAGCCATTTCAGTTAAATAAAAACAAAAGTGGCAGGTGTCTGGTGATGATGTTTTTAAAACAGTCCAGTCACTGAACTGGTAGGAATCTCTGGCCTAGGACCGGGAACTTGAAGTTACTCCAATACTCCACTGTGTGTAGATTAATGTCTAAACAGGTACAAGTAGAGACACTGATGACAAGTTAATTTTTGATGCATCGTGTGATTAAACAAGCTGTGGTGCTTGTGTGTCTGACAGACCTAAGGTAAATATTTTTGTAGACACGTCAATTGTTTGTGTTTGGTTTGAATTCCAGTTTTCACCAACTCTTGACCTCGGTTTCCAGTGAAGTAGAAATGTTGAAATTTGCTGTTCTCAAACTTTAAGCTTTTCTCTTTTCATGCTGGAAAGGTGCAGTAGGGGGCCATATCCATGTCAGGAACTGCAAACCTAGCCTAGCAGGCACCCTCCTGGCTGGCAGAGGAGAGCGTTGTGTTTCTGTGGGGGCTGAGCTTAGCTGTCATTTGCCAGTTGGAGCTGCTGATCAGCAGGTTTTGCTGATTTCAGCTGATGAAAATCAGCCTTTCTTTTTAATAATGTTTTGCATGTATGCTCAAGGAACAAGGTTGAAATCAATTGCTTCATTTGAGGTTTCCTGTTGCTGGCTTTAAATTGTGATTGGAGTTGGAGTTTTAAATCGGCTTGATCGAGATCGGTCTGGTTTTGTAGCTGCTGTTTGAGGTTGCAGAAAACCTCGCTTTCTCATGTTATATTAGACAGATTTTCCTCTAGGTTTTTTTCCTGGGGCTGTCTTTGCAGGTGCCTCCTCTATCGCCGATGCAATCAGTGACAGTGCTTGGTTGGCAGCTGCCGGTGTGTGCACCTACCAGGGAGGAAACCCTGCAGCCCTTACGCACGCAGAACAACACAAAAGGAAGCTTTCAAAGATTTTCATGCCATTTCCTTGTCTGTCTGATGACAGGCCCTACTCCAGTCCTCATCCTAGTTCTTCTGTTGCTAGTTGTGCCATTTTAGTGCCCCTTTACGAAGGACCCTGATGCCGGCAGGGTGTTCCTGTGCCCTGAGGTTTTGTCTAGTGAGCGGTGTATGAGCAGCGGGATGGCTGGAGGTCAGGAGGAGCTGGGATGGGGTTCAGGGTCCCTCGCTGACAGTCCCTCCTTGCCTCTCCTGTAGCCTCTCCTTACAACCGCTGCAAGGGCAGTATCTACCTTGTGTTTGACTTCTGCGAGCACGACCTGGCTGGCCTCCTCAGCAATGCTCACGTCAAGTTCACCCTCTCGGAGATCAAGAAAGTTATGCAGATGCTGTTGAATGGACTTTACTACATCCACAGGAACAAGGTAATGGGCCAGACTCGTGCTGTGCCCTGAGGTCACCCTGCTCTCTGTGGCTTTCCAAGGAGTGGGTGTCTTAGCACAGGCTGGAGGGAAGCCCTTCCTTGTCCTCCACCTCCAGAGCCTGAGCGCCCCGCTGGCACCAGGCGCCCGAGGAGGGTACCTTCATGGCTTAACCTTTCGCTGTCTGTCCTTGTACAGATCCTGCATCGAGACATGAAAGCTGCGAACGTCCTGATCACGCGAGACGGGGTCCTGAAGCTTGCAGACTTTGGGCTGGCTCGAGCTTTCAGCCTGGCTAAGAACAGCCAGCCGAACCGCTACACCAACCGGGTGGTGACCCTGTGGT